CACTTTGCAAGGTCACAGCATGACAGTCCTGACAGACAACACCACCGCCATGTTCTACATAAACAAACAGGGCAGAGCTCGCTCCTCACCCCTCTGCTGCAAGGCTCTTCTCCTCTGGGACTTCTGTATAGCCCCGTCCATACAACTGGAAGCATCCTACCTCCCCAGTGTGACGAACGCCTCAGATTGCCTCAGCAGGTCCTACCAAGCTCACGAGTGGTCGGTCCAATCAGATGTCATGCAGTCAATTTTCCAAAAGTGGGGTTATCCCCAAGTCAATCTATTCACCACCAAGGACAACAAACAGTGCCCTCGGTTCTGATCATTCCAAAACCACAGCCAGGCTCCATCTCTGATGCGTTCTTAATACAGTGGGGAGAGGACCTGAAGTATGCCTTCCCTCCAATCCCGCTGATCCACAGGGTCTTGCTCAAGATATGCAGGGACAGAGCAATGGTGATCCTGCTTGCCCCGTCCTGGTCACGTCAGCATTGGTATACAACACTCCTCGAACTATCAGTAGATGCCCCAATAGTCCTATCTCTGTATCCGGACTTGATCACTCAGGACCACGGGCACCTTCTCCACCTGAACCTACAGTCCCTGCACCTCATGGCTTGGAAGCTCCATGGCTAAACTTGATTGAGTGCCAGTGCTCTCAGTTAGTGAGACAGATACTTCTTGGCAGCAAGAAGCCTTCCCCTAGGTCAACTTACTTGGCCAAGTGGAAAAGGTTCTCCTGCTGGTGTGAACTCAGACATTTGTTACCTCTCCAGGTATCTATCCCGGTTATACTGGGGTACCTGCTTGACCTCAAGCAACAAGGCCTATCACTTTCATCCATCAGAGTACACCTGGCGGCTGTCTCAGCTTTCCATCCAGGGGAATCTGGGGGCTCAGTATTCACAAATCCCATGGTGGTGCGTTTCCTCAAGGGATTGGTGAGGGTATACCCTTACTCTCGACCACCAGTACCAACCTGGAATCTGAACCTGGTCCTCTCCAAGCTCATGGGCCCACCATTCGAGCCCTTGGCCACTTGTTCCCTCCTTTACCTTTCATGGAAGGTAGCGTTCTTGGTGGCCATTACATCGGCGAGGAGAGTGTCTGAACTAAAGGCTCTCACCGCCAAACCCCCTTACATGGTGTTTCATAAGGACAAGGTACAACTTAGACTGCACCCTAGATTCCTCCCCAAGGTGGTCTCCGAGTTCCACATGGGACACGACATCTGCCTGCCTGTGTTTTTTCCAAAGCCTCACACGAGTCCGCAGCAGCAGAGCTTGCACACGCTAGATGTTCGAAGAGCCCTAGTGTTCTACATAGAGCGCACAAGGCCTTTTCGCAAATCAACCAAACTGTTCTCAGCCATAGCAGATAGAATGAAGGGCCTTCCAGTATCTTCTCAGCTCATCTTGTCCTGGATCACAGACTGCATTCGCACGCTCTATGAGCTCGCTAAGTTCCCAGCTCCTGCAATCACAGCCCATTCGACGAGAGAGCAAGAGTCTTCGACCGCCTTTCTGGCGCAGGTACCGATCCACAAAATCTGCAAAGCAGCTACCTGGTCCTCAGTGCATACGTTTACAGCCCACTATACCATCAACCAACAGGCCAGAGACCATACAGCTGTCAGCAGGGCTGTCCTCCAATCAATCATTCCTTGACTCCTACTCACCTCTGATGGTCAGCCTGGAAGTCACCTAATTGGAGTGGACGTGAACAAGCACTCGAAGAAGAAAAGACGGTTACTTACCTCTTGTAACTGTTGTTCTTCGAGATGTGTTGTTCACGTCCATTACAATACCCGCCCCCCTTCCCCTCTGTCGGAGTCAATGGCAAGAAGGAACCGAAGGGGGGTTGGGCCGGCAGGGTACTAGATACAGCGCCATAAGGGCGCCAATCTAGGGCCTCCTCTGCCGCCCGATGGGAGCTGCTAAGGGAAAAAGTTTATGACGTCCGTGCACGCAGTGCGCGCACATCTAATTGGAATGGACGTGAACAACACATCTTGAAGAACAACAGTTACGAGAGGTAAGTAACCATCTTTTCTATTGCACAGACCTCTGCCCCTTGAGCTAACAGTAACTGATAGCAATAGTACACTGTCATCCTCTCTGTAGACCAGCATGAGACGGGGTTAAGACAAACACGATGCCAGTGGGTTCATAGATATTTGGAGTGATGAGACTCAGGAATTTTGAATTACATTCCAGGCACTAAAAGGGAGTATTCTCTAGTGGGCACAGACTCTTCTGCTTGTCCCCCACAAGTGTAAACCCTTCTGTGCTCTTCCTCCATCCCAGTCCTGTCTCTCCCCCACCCCGTCTCCTTGTCCCAGTTTCATTCTCCTTGCCTATCTGGTCCCAATCACCACTCGTTAGGCTTCTCATTCCAGTCCCAGTCTCCTTGCTCAGGCAGTTCAGATCTCTCCCTCTGGACTCACTGTCCAAGCCCCAATTTCCCCCCAACTTCCATTCTGTTCCCTTCCTCACATTCAGTTTCATTCTCTGTGCACAGCCAGTCCCAGTTCCTCCTGCCTGGCTCCTCATCCGATCTGTCTCTCAGCTCCCCTACACAAAGCCTCCCAGTCCTAGTCTCCCTCCCTGAGCTCGTCATCTAATCTCAGTCCCCCCTCAATACTTTACCTGACTCTTTGCACCAGAAATATCAACTAGTTAACAGGGCCGCCCAGAGGGGGGGGGCAAGTGGGGCAATTTGCCCCAGGTCCCGGGTCCTGCAGGGGCCCCCATGAGAGTTTTCAGGGGCCCCCACGAGAGTTTTCAGGGGCCCCCACGAGAGTTTTCGGCAGGTCTTCGGCGGCACTGAGTGAAGGACCCGCTGCCAAAGACCCAGAGCTATCTTCTGCTCCGGGTCTTCGGCGGCAATTCAGCGGCGAGGGCTCCTTCCGCTCCGGGTCTTTGGCGGCAATTCGGTGGCAGGTCCTTCACTCGCTCTGGGACCCACCGCCGAAGTGCCCCGAAGACCCGGAGTGGAAGGACCCCCGCCGCCGAAGACCCCAGGCCCCCTGAATCCTCTGGGCGGCCCTGCTAGTTAAATCTGACAAGGTCCCTGTAAGGTAAGTAAGTAAATATGATTGTAGATGGGTGTGACAGGGTGCTGTGCAAAGGGCTGCTGATTCAGCCCTCTGTCACACCAGCTCCCATTTAGGGAAATAAATTAGAGCTGGCTGGAGGTAAACTGGCCCTAATTGGGGAAGCAGAGACAGCTGCTGCCTAATTAGCCTGGGGCTGCATAAAAGCCTCAGAGGAAGGGGGCCGGTGCTGAAAGGGAAAAGGCAGGGAGCAGAAGCAGGGAAGTAGTGCTTCCCTCCTGCCTGCAGATGGTGAAAGGCCAACTGTATATGGTGAAAGGGTGGTGGGAACAAGTCTGTGAATAAACTGCACCAGTGGTTACTAACCCCAGGATCTCAGAGTGACTTTGTGAACCTAGCTGAGGCAGGAGCCAAGGGGGCTCTGCTGTGCTCTGCTACAGTGGGGCTGGTACCACTGTGTCATCTAATCCTGCACAGAGCAGGTCTAGACAATGGGGTGGTCAAACCTTTGGCACTGCAGTGTCAGTCGATCTACAGTAGCTTTCCTATCATTGGTGTCCTCCGTGGAACTGCACCTCTGAAAAACCAGGCCCATAAAGTGATGTGTTTCTGCATCAGGAAAAGCCAACGTTTTCTGTTTTATTTGCTTTGAACACTTTTTGAGAAACGAAAGCGGTGCTGGATTAGCCAGGGTGGGTACAGTACTGGCTGCGCAAGCTCCCCGCATACTGCCCTGCCATAGTGCCTGGAGGGACTAGGTCTACAGATCAGATGGCAGTGGAAGCTCAGTCTCCAGGCCTGCGCAAAACTTGCTGAGACTTCTAATAATAGCAGTAGTGGTGTGAACTGGACACCTTTCTAACAGGAGAGAAACTAAGTTCACTTCATGTAGGACCCTGAACACCCATCACATGATAACTGTTTTCAGTTCAGACCTGGGCTGGATTTGACCTTGTGACATTCTGGTGAAAAAAAGCTCTTTACCCATTAATAATCCCTGAGCTATTCATCTTTTTGTGTGTCTTTGTAGGTTATGAAACCTTTGTGAAGTGTACAGGCTCCGGCTTCCAACTTTTCCCGGGGTGCTCAACCTCTGCTCAGCCCTAGGCCCCGCCCCCACTCCACCTCTTCTCCCAAACCCCTACCCTGCTCTGCCTCTTCCCGCCCCCACTCTGCCCCGTCCCGCCTCTTCCTGCCTGTTCCACCCCCTCCCCTGAGCACACCCCTTCTCTGCTCCTCCCCTTCCCTCCCAATGCTGCAGAACAGCTGATCGGCGGCAGGTAGGAGGTGCTGGGAGGGAGGGGGAGGAGTTCATCGGAGGGCTGCCAGTGGGTGGGAGGTGCTGGGGCTGGAGGGAGGGAAGCTTGGCTGCCGGTGGGTGCTAAGCACCCACTAATTTTTTCCCCTGGGTGCTCCAGCCCTGGCGCACCCATGGAGTCGGCACCTATGAAAGACAGAGAGAGACTGGATAATGAACTGCAGAGCTTTATGGGCATGAATTTGCAATAGATGCATTTGTCATAAACAGTATACCACATGTGTATATAGAAGCATGTATTCTAATTTTCACTATGAAAAATTGTAGTTTAATATTCATTGTTAGGATATTTTTTTTCTCCATGTTACATCTTTGGGGCTACGTATAAATTGGTATAGCACCACTGAAATCAATGGAGCGAGACCAGATTACACTGATTGAGGGCTTGGAATGATGAGCATTTCAATTAAAAGAAAAACATTCACTGTGTAGATCTAAGGGGAAATAAAGGCAAAAGGTCTGGCAGATCATACTTGGGTTTTCCTGGGCATGATTTAGATTCTGAAGGGGCTTGGGGAAAAGGCTGAATTGCTGGTTTTTCACTTAAATATTTGTAAAATGGATTCTGGGGAGTTGGCGGATGGTCAGGGAAGTTTGCATCAGGAGCTGGGAGGACCTCATGCTGATTTAAAACTGGAATATGATGGATGGAACCAAGCTGTCTTTTATGGAAAGGATGAGGTGTTTGGGATGAAATGTGCTCTTCTGAGGAGCTGGCCTCATCTCTTCCTCTTTCCTGGGAAAAATTGCTAGACCCCTGATGGTGTAGACGGTTATGTCTATGGCCGTGTTTACAACCATAAGGAGGGGGAGGATAATGAGGACCACGTGGAGGAGGAAGATGAGGAGGCCCATGCTGATGTTCCTCTCCAGAGAAATTGTGATGATGCTCAGATCCTTCAGGGTGGATGACCCTATTTTCAGGAGGTGGTGGGCATCTATGGTAATGTCTCTT